GAGATATATGTATTTGAGGAGTTCTTTGTACAACAAATGGTAAATTCTGATTGGTTCATATAAAACACGCGTCATAAGTTTGAGTGGTATGATTGGTTGAACTTTGGTCGGAGCTATAAGAGGGCGTGACTAAAGGAAGGGTTGGGATTGGTTAAAAACGTTTTCCAAAACCAGTTAAACCTGTTTTTAAYACGTCATGATTTCAGGTGTTTTGGTTGACAAACGCACCTTGAGTGTGGCAAACGCACCACTGAGTAAATGTCCGCTTAAACAGTCCTCCAAGGCGAACTTGCTTTTACTTTTAAAACAAAAAACGCGGCTTTTAGGGAGATTTATTAGCAAGTGCTATAAAATATGCGGGTACTACAATCCCTTCATGCTTAATTTGTTACACAAAATGGCGTCGCTGCAGACATACTTTGCTTAATGTTATTATAAAATCTCCAGGGAATGCCTTATATATACCAATAAATTGTTTTGTATTGTAGTATTGCAATAAATTCATTTACAACGCAAAACGTACAACTCAACAGAGTCTTCCAAGTTAGTTACTTCAGCAAAGATTGAAACTCAAATAACTCAGAAATTACTTTCAGATATCCAAAATATTGTTTTTTTCCCCCCACAAGTTATTAGTTAAAAACCAAGTTATTAAGCAGTACAAATACTATCCACGATGTTGTGCTCAGTTAGTTTGCTGGATGAGACAATTGAGAATGTCACTCTTGTAAAATACGCCAAAGGAAGATGTCTACTTGAGGAGGTACGAACTGAAAATCTTATTCCTTATGTTTCCTTTAATAATATCAAAGTGTTTCCTTAAATTATATCAGGTCTTATCTCATTTTCCGGCAACTACCGCATGCTATTCAGAGAGTAGCTATAGTGAGCTGCAGATGTGTTTGCAAGACTTGCACGTCTCTTGGTTGCAAAAATCTTGCTGGCAGATGCATGGAAACTGGCTCATTTTGAACTACATTTACATTTTTACATTAGAGTTGAATCATTCCATCTTCATAAAATAGCATTTCTTTTCAAGCTAAAAAATGTTTTCGAAGCGCAATTTCTTGCGAACAAGAATCCCCTKAGACAAACAGGACAAAAATATCGCCGCCATGTTGGACGTCAATATGAACAAGAGGACTAATAAGGAGTGTTTTGTTTTTGCTCATAKTTTTTCGTGTTTATTTTCAGGTTTGTCATCGTTTAAAACTAACAGCAGAAATRGAYTATTTTGGYTTGAAATTTTGTGATAAAACTGGGCAAGAAAGTTGGTTGAATATGCGAAACGAGATCCGAAAGCAAATGAGCAAGGCGTCCATTTATAGGTTTCACTTAAGAGTGAAGTATTTCGTTAAYCAAAGTCAAATAATTCAAGAAAATACGAGGTTAGTAAAAGAAAACGTATTGAAATAGCACAAGGATCGCAATTTAATAATCTCTAAATCAATAATGAAATTGTAGCAATTTGCTTGCACTATAGCTAGTTTTTAAACCTTCATCGATAATGATTTCTTTGTTTTTTTTTTTATCTATCAATGTATATAGTTTAACTAATTATATCTTTTGCACTAAGCAGTATTGATTTATGCTTATGAATTTTCAATTTCAGGCATCAGATGTTCTTGAATGTGAGGCACAACTACGTCAACGGCAAGTATTTCCTGTCACGTGACCGGCTACCTCGATTTCACGCTTTACTTTTACGTAGTGAGCATGGCGAAGACGCGTTGACCGCTGTCACCAATCACCCAATCATCATGGAAGAATGGAWCAAAGAAGAGTGTGGGTCGCTGGTTGGACTAAGGGCTGAGCATGCGCGCTTGACAGGAGTTTCCAAAGTTGAAGCAGAAAAGCTGCTTTTGACTGAGATAGAGATGCTCGAGCCTACATATGGAGCAGAGATTTTCCGTGCCATAAATGGTCATCAAGATCACGTGACTATTGCAGTGTGCCGCGATGCTGTACGTGTCTATGGTAACGACAAATCTCTTATTGACGAGTAAGTTTATCGTTACTTYTTTATTCTTGMAGTAAATGTAAAATTGCCAGGAGTTGTTTCACTGTCACAAAAAAGGTTCAAATGGTTTTKTATATGAGTTATAAAATGACTGAAGATCATACAATTCCAAAACTAACCCCTAATCATGGTACCTCATTTRGTTTCCTTTTTTCTTTGTTCTCCTGATCCTTCATAAACTAATGGATCAACCAAGGTTAAGCTTACGCCTCTCTGTGTCATAGACTATGGTTAGCAATAGCTGACCAGCTTGACTAGAAATTTTCATGATATAATCGGCGATACGTTTTCCTCTTTGACTCAGCTCCCGTGATAAAAGATTGGGCGGCGAAATTTGCTGTTCTTGATAATTATGAACAGTTTGAGCCMAGGGTTGGGTCGCTCAAAGATCGATTAGACTATTCCTGGGCTAATATAAACACCTATGGAGTTTACCCTGGATTAACGCGAATCAGGCTTTGAATAATCCAACAGTTTAGGGCTTTTGATTGTGATGTTCTTTCTCTTCGTATGCAGATATGATTATGAGTCAGGCGTTTACCCATCCACCAAAGACACAAACTTCTTCATCGAGGTCCAGGAAGATTACAAATGCTACAAGATCACCTACAAACTAGACAGTACTACAGCAGCCAGGAATCTTCTCAGAACAACAATTGAATTCTGCACCTTCTTTACCCATGACACCGTGAGTGACTGGGTTCTAGGCTCGTATAAGAGGTCCAGCGCTATTAAAACTGTGACGTCGTTAATTAAACATCAGATAGTCGACACCAAGTATAAAAGACCCAAGGTATATAGGTATGACGTCATGAAAACCGGACCAGAGGTCTTTGAGCAAGCGTGGAAGTATGTTGCAGAGGAAAAGGCTAGTTCGATTCAGGGAAAATGTGGACTGCGCATGCCAAGAAGACACAAACCGGATTCGCTGGTTTTTAAATTCGGTCCTGATACTCCAAA